GTGTGTGTGTGTGTGTGTGTGCGTGTGTCTTATTATCAATTACACACTCTTATAAAATACGCTGTCCGCTCAGGACAAATACCAATTGCCGAACCATTTCCCTTACTCGACAGATGCGACAATTCGTCCATGATGACGCGTGACGTCCGCCGCGCGATATACTTCCCCGAGAAAGTCACGTATTTAACGATAACTTATCGCTTCATAGGCGAACAATCTGCTCATGGAATACACTTGGACTTCCTTTTTATAATTAATCGCGCGCTCAGAAACCTTGCAAAGCATGGGATAAAAAAATTTTGTAGACGTATGGTGAGGTCGCTACAGGAGCTGATTTTTTCTTCAAATATCGGCACACATTTAATATCATCAAAGCCCCAGGAAAATCTTATAAAATGCGAGTGTCTCTTCTTATCTCGCGGTCCGTTTTACTATCGAACGCTTTTCAATTGGTGGTCGAGTATCAATTTACTTTACATTCTTTAATTCTTAAATCTCTATTATAAGCTCGGCAATTTTTTATTGTTACTTTAATCTTTTGCAAAATCCATCCATATAAATAAATGCGATCTCTATTCTCAGTAGTGATTATTAATATCATACACAGACCTTATGTGCGATACCCTAATATTACTAATTTACAATTACATGGTGCGAAGATATCTTTTTCACACTTTGTAATTTATGAATAATATCGTTAAAATGCAAATATCAAGTGTTCAATCTACCTTTTAGTAACATCATAGCATTTTAATTATTTTTTCAATTAAGCCAATTATCTCGCTCAACAGAATTAAATTCTCACTTTATCAAAATATTATGAAATATTTTCGAAATGACATTTGCGAAAAGTCCCTTCATTGTTTAATGCCAGCTTTTATCACGGATCATCTTGCACTTTTATTAATGTTAATAATTCGTTTATAATCAATATTGAATATCATCGTGCGCCTTAAGTGTTTTGTAGAAGATTCGGTTGAAACGTTAAAGATACTTGGCGAGGTGTTATATTGGCCGTGTGTGTGTTTAAAAAGGGATGCGGAAAACGCTTGACTTGGCTAATTAGCGCGACTTAAATAATAAAGTCTCGCTGAAAACTCGAAATTGCCTGTCACTCGGCAAAAGTAGCTGCCACCCGATGAAAAGCAGCTGTAAATACGAAGGCTATTGAGGTCCAGCTGCATCATGTACGAAGTTCCATAGAGGACGAGCTACACTGGCTTACCTGGCGGTCGTGCAGTCCCTATAGAGCACGTCGAAGTCCTTGCAGCTGAGGAGCTTACATCTGTTGACGCCGGGCTGTATGGCGCCGAGGCCACGAAGAATCCGGACCTGCTCGACGTTGCAGACAAGCGGCACGATGTCGAGCCTCTTGAGCTTGGTATATACGGTGTGCAGGCCCCCGACGAGGTGCTTAAGGAAGAGCTCGAATGCCTGAGGCAAACATAGCATCGTGTCCCCGGCTATTATGAAAGCCGCGACTTTTTGGCCGCGGTAATCGACGAGCTTACACTCGTTCGCAGTGGGGTCGCTCGAGCTTATTGGGGGTGGGCTGTTGTAGTTCCTCGGCGGCATGACCGCGTGGTGCGCCGCCATGAGCTCGAGCGGCGAGCCGTGGTGAGCGCTGAGCATGCCGCCCAGCTGGCCCAGGAGTCCGAGGCCCGGGGGCGGTAGCCCCGGCATCCGCGGCACCATCCCAGCCGGGGCCCCGGCGCCCCCGGTTAGTGGCGGCGGCGACAGGGGCAGACCCTGGGGCGGCGAGCCACGAGTCGGCGAGCCCGGGGTCGGCACTCCCCGATGTTGCTGTTGCTGCTGACTGTGCTCGCGCAACTGATCGCGAGGGTGCGGCTGTTGATGGGTGCTGGCGAGTGAGTGTTGAGAACCGTGTACTTGCTGCTGTTGTTGCTGCTGTTGCTGCTGCTGCTGCTGCTGTTGCTGTTGCTGTTGACTGTGTAGATTGTTTTGATGCTGCTGCTGTTGCTGTTGCTGTTGTTGCTGTTGCTGCTGCTGTTGCTGAATCGGACTGTGTGGGTTCTTCGGACTGCTGGCCGTGGGGCTCGCGCGGCTACTATGCTCCGAGGAGCTGTCCATAGCGCCGTGATCCATGAGAGCGAGGTTCGGGTGCTGGAGCCGACCGTCGTAGTGCTGTTGCACGTCCGACGCGGGACTGGCCCAAAGCTGGCGCTCCGAATGCTGAGCCCGAAACCACGGGTAAATCTTCGCTAGGGGATGAATTGTTGATGCTGGATGGCGCTGGTCTGGTGGAGTAGGAGCCCTGGGCCTGGAATCCGCCTGGAGTAAATTAAGCGCGCTCGAGCGTCGAGACGGCGCTCATAACTGCGCGACTCTACTCCTGACTCTCGGCCGTTATCAGCGCGTCATCGAGCGCGGCACTTGGTGCGCGAACGCGACGACGGCGGCTACGACGACGACGACGACGAGAGCGAGGTCGAGGGCAAGGGCGAGGGCGAGAAGAGCGAGGAGGTCCCTCGAGTCAGCACTGGCACTCTTGGCTTGGCACTTGGTTGGAGCCGGTGGCTCGTCACTTGGCCTGTCACACGGATCGTCACTCGGCACGTCAGCCTACCCGTCACTCGGCCGAGCCCTCGGTGTCGTGAACGCGATGCCACTGTGCCATCGCTCGATCGGGCGCGCGCGCGAGTTTCTACGTCGCCGACTCCCGGGTGAGTCGCGGTTCCCGTTCCCTCGTATCAGGGAGCTTGTGAACGGTGTCAAGGAGCTTCTGCCTCCGGGCGCGATCTCGATTTGCTGGGTACTCGCGAGAGAGCGCTCGTCGCTCTCGATGCTCTCGGCCCCCGGTGCGCAGAGAGTGCCGCGGAGACTCGAGTCCCTGCGTATTTCCCTCTACCCAGTCACAGATGTAATAAATAAAAACACGAGCCGGCCTCCGCCGAGTGCGGCTCCGTCTTCGTCGCGGCCACGGTCTCGCTCTCGGCCGCCGGCGGCCGTTGGTGGGGGCATCCCTGGTGATGGAGGAGGCGGGGCCTCAAGCGACGATTGGCGGTGATGGGCGGCCTCTGGCGACCACCACTGGACGGGCTCCCGACGCCCGACACGCCCCCCGGTCGGCCTACGATATTGCGACCCAACGGTAGGCCGAAGCCGCCGCCGAGCCGCCGTACAGCCGAACGCTTTATTGGCTGGGATGCACATGGTGGGGGATCACGGCGCCCGAGAGCCACTTCTTTTTCGCATCGCGGCGGCAGACTTCAGAGTGAGACGAACGCTCGACTGGCAATACGAGAGAGACAGAGCGAGAGACGGCAAGAGAGGTCATTTCTCCTTCTCCGGATGGCGCTGCTTCGCGGCCGAGACGTACAGAGAAGGAGGCGCGGAGTGCGCAAGAGTACGGCCGACTGCCTCTGCTGCAGCTTCATCCTCTTCTCTTTTCATTTTCGCGAGGCAACGAGTGTGCAACTCTCTCGCGTACGTGCGCAGATATACGGCTACACGAGAATATCCTGCCAACAACCAGAATGGAAGAAAAGGAGAGCTACGGGACGATAAAGAGAAATAGAGACAGAGAGCGAGTGGAGAGAGCCAAGCCGGGAAATCGACTCCCACTTCGCGCTGCCACTCTACCCCTTTCAACCCTCACTTTCTCTCTCTCTCTCTCTCTCTTCTCTCTCTCTCTTCTCTCTCTCTCTTCTCTCTCTCTCTTCTCTCTCTCTCTTCTCTCTCTCTCTTCTCTCTCTCTCTTCTCTCTCTCTCTTCTCTCTCTCTCTTCTCTCTCTCTCTTCTCTCTCTCTCTTCTCTCTCTCTCTTCTCTCTCTCTCTTCTCTCTCTCTCTTCTCTCTCTCTCTTCTCTCTCTCTCTTCTCTCTCTCTCTTCTCTCTCTCTCTTCTCTCTCTCTCTTCTCTCTCTCTCTTCTCTCTCTCTCTTCTCTCTCTCTCTTCTCTCTCTCTCTTCTCTCTCTCTCTTCTCTCTCTCTCTTCTCTCTCTCTCTTCTCTCTCTCTCTTCTCTCTCTCTCTTCTCTCTCTCTCTTCTCTCTCTCTCTTCTCTCTCTCTCTTCTCTCTCTCTCTTCTCTCTCTCTCTTCTCTCTCTCTCTTCTCTCTCTCTCTTCTCTCTCTCTCTTCTCTCTCTCTCTTCTCTCTCTCTCTTCTCTCTCTCTCTTCTCTCTCTCTCTCTCTCTCTCTCTCTCTCTCTCTCTCTCTCTCTCTCTTTAAACTCTTTGTCTTTTTAGCGATCTTTCGTCGCCCGAATGTACTCCAGCGCCACTGATATAGCCGCCACGACTGTCACCTTCGTTGACGACGACGATGTCAAAAACGAAAATGTGAGCGACAACGACGACGAAAATTGTCCCAGGCATTGTAATCGATCGTAATGGGACAGAAAGAGAATGACAAAAAAGTAGTTAGAAGATCGTAGTGACAAATCTAATGTAAGAGGAGGAGAACGATAAACGTCTCTGCTTTCCACCATATTCACTATCAACATTACACTCGTGCGCTTATTTCTTCTGTAGATATTTTCACTGTCTCTCTCTCTCTCTCTCTCTCTCTACATTTTCTCCTGCTACCCCTTCGGACAAGTTTTGCAGATTTTATTTTCTCCCCCTCATCGTCCCTCCCACCATCTCACGATCCCTCTCTTATTCTCTCCCTTACTTCTCATCTCAGCCGTTATGACGCTTAACCCTCCGCTCCAGCATCCGTCTGCCTTTCTCCCCCCTCTTCACTGTTTCAATGTACCTTCTATACCACCTTCTCATCGACTCCGCCACCTTTTCCCTCTTTCTTGTCTACCACCACCTTGCGCCATCACCGCCACCTTCACCTTCTGCTTCAATAATCTCGTTCCTTGAGTTCTCTCGCACTCTTGCATATTATCTTTCTCCCTTTGCATCAGGACGCACTGTTGAATATTGTAAATCTAATAGTGTGATTTTTAGTCTGATTAAAAAGAACTCTACTGTTGAACTACTGACTTTCAAATGACATTCATAAATATTACATTACGAACGATGAAAAATTATTGTTTAAACCTAGAATTAAGGGCAGATTTCGTTCATTTGTAGTATCCACGCCACCATTTCCTCAGGTATTTATGATTTATTTAACAAAGATATTCACTGTGAAACTTTAAAAGTAATTACTATTTTTCTTGAAAATAATAAATAAAGGTCTCATTGTTTTTTCCATTTGATGCATTACATTTTTATAATAATTATGGATCCATTCTTCACAAAATAGTTTGCCTCACTATCATTTATAGCACTAATCTAACAAGCTTCATTTTCACATATTTACTTTCTAATATTGGAATTAGAAATAATTGTAGTTAAGAATTTTTTTAATTACATTAAGAAAATAAAGAATATAATTGTTTCTTTGTAGAATGAAAATATAAGAATAAAAAAAATTATGTTATAAAAGCACCAATTCCATATTACCATAGATTTTGTTAGATTTAAAAATGAATTTATAAATTCATAAAATAAAAAATATTTGTATAAATAATATAAAAAAATATTATACAAAAATATGCACTTGTGTACATATAAAAAAAAACAAAATGAATATTCATACAGAATTCTAATAAACAAACTATTACAGTTTAAGAATACCCTATAACCTTGGCTGAATAAAATGCAATTAACTACAAAAAAATTTTAGATTTTCTTTTATTCTAGGTATATAATTAGTGTTTACAGTCATTCGCCATTAATCATGTTAACAATATACGCCATTGATAATGTTCATTTGAAATCTAAAATAAAACATTAATTTCACGTATTATTCGCTATGAATAATAGAAACGTGGAACGTATAATGAAATATATATTTATTTGGGAAATTCACTCAATATTAATAAACATGATTGTTGAAAAATTTAAGAAACTTATAAAATTTTCTTTTACTTTTTGAAATTTACTCACTAGACTACTAACTTTTTATATTATATTCGCGTGTATATTGATTATAAAAAATGAATCTACATAATTAATACAACTTTTCACAACACAATTTAAATTACTAAATAAGGCAACCAACTGCACAAAAACTATTAAATACTAATACTAACGTTATTGTATATGTAGCTATTGTTATGGTTTTCTAGATTATTATCTTTTACACCTTATAATATTTTCCTACTTGTGTACCATATATAAAATATTCCTGCCAATTATATTATAAGATGTTATATTTTTTTAATGAATTTCATGATAATGGCATACACTCTATTATAAATAACGCATTCATTGCTACATAAATTGTAAAAAATAATAAAAATTTAACTCATCCCAGCTATTTATAATATTATAATTTAATTGATAATTAACCGTATTACAAATTTCTTATTAATATTGGACTCATAAAACTATAAACAAAATATTTTAATTTATATTTGTGTATTTTTATGTGCATATATTTTTAATATTTTTTAATAACATTCTTTTTTGATATTTCCAATTTTATGGCTTTTTAACCATAAAATTAAAAATTTTGAAATACAAAAAGTATTAATCTGTAGATTACGCCTATACTTATTATGTCTACACTTCGATACTTAACAATAAATTCATTTCATAATTTAACAGGATTCGAAAATGCCGAAAAACCTATAGATAGGTACGTTATAAGTTTGAGTGAAGAAGCGCCACATGTCATTTCTAGCACCGATAAATAATGATCAAAATGAATGGGGCAGATTCGAAAATTTCCGGCTGGCAGCCGGTGGAACGAATTGGCCAAGAAAGCTGTTTCATCGTCTCACCATCATGTTTC